TATAAATTTTTCTAAATGTGATCACATGGCATATGTTACATCTTTCGTGTATAGTTATTATATCGCCATCACACTGACACCTACCCTTCCTTGGACTCCTTTCGGAAATCCATCTTCAAAATTTGTGTTTTCTTTCTTTCGCATTTGATATAAGCATATAACTATTATTTTACAGCATATATTGAAATGATGTTTCCCGCACAAAGATGGGAAGCTGTCAAGTCTCTGGGGTGTTTGCATTTTACTCACCTCCGTTGAAAGCTAAATCTAGTGGTAAATTTGTCAAGTGCTTCTTGGGACTTATGGAAGGGATGAATTGCTTGACTTCCTGATGGAACCACTGAATCTGGAAAGTTTGCTCATGACGAGTAAATAAGATAATGTACTATTATTCAGAGGTAGGTAAAGTGAACCTTTCTGACAATCCGTAGGTGACAGCTTTCCCTCCGATGTAGTGTAAAGAAGGGCGTCCCAAAAGCCTTCTTTTCCAAATGGCAAGTGCAGCGTTCTCTGTAAGAAACATGGTTTTCATAAAAGGTTGACTATGAAAAAGGTGGTTTGTAGTTTTGGTCGTGGAATAGGGTCATGAAGATAGGAATTTAGATAGTAGTAGTGAGATAGAAAACTGGAGAGGCGGTTGGATACCCAGATTGGTGGAGAGGCTGGAAAGTAGGATGCTGGAGTGTGAGGTGGATAGGTAGAGAAATTAAGTTGTGAAGGAGTGGCGAAATAGTGAACTAGAAGGAAAATGAGCCAGGGAAATTGAGCAGTGGCGAGTTGGGAAGCTGGGAACAAAAAGTGCAGTTGAGTACTCTGAACTCGTTTGTAGTCTTTCATCTGCAGCTACGTCCTACTTTTAAAGGCTATTTTCTTGTGTCTCTAATCCGGAAAAGCACTCCAGCCCGGTTTGTTTGCTAGAGGTAAGCATTTTCGTAGTTCTTTGTCTGCAATCCTAGAAACCTTGCTAAACTTGGCTCTTGCTTCCTCCCTCCTTCCTATAAATAGCCATG